TCTCTCTCTCTCTCTCTCTCCCCAAATGAGAAGTTCATTCATACATACATTCATTCATTTGAAACCTCTTTTTTTGGGGTAAAATATTTTTATTTGTGATTTGAGTGTTTTATTTATGTATCTCTGCTGTAGATCTGTTCAACTGTTTTTTCTTCTTCTCCTAATTATACAACTTTTCTCTCAAATTAACTCTAAATTTGATTATAAATATAACTCTATATATAATTCTCTCCCAAAATCGGTTCAAAGTGTCATTTTATCTCAAATCTAAATCTCGCCATAAATTCATTGCTTATTATATTTATCGTGAATTCAATTTCAATTGATTTACCGATTAGTTTGTCTAATAATATGAAAAAAATAACTCAAATAACATTAATTTTGTTATCAAATTTTAAATTGCATTTTAAAAACTGATTACCAGAAAAGAAGTATATAAAAAAGGTATCGCTAAATATAATGACAATTAATTTTAATTATCACAAAAGTGTGGGTAAAATATATTTACATTTCTATTGCCTTTGAATTTTGTGATAACGGCTGAACTTTCGGAGCGAATCCGTTAAAAGCAAACGTCAGATAAATATCACAAATGATAACAATATTTATAATATATAATTGATTCACAAATCATTTATTATTGAATTTAAAATAAATGTTCATTAAATCGACTCAAATAATGATCACTCGTTTTGTACGCTTGAGATTCAATTCAATGATTAGTTTTTATATTTCAATAGCATTTTCGCAAAAGTTTGTCGTTTAAACTAAATTTGGTTTACAGTTAACATTTGGATTGTTTATTAAATAAACATATATTTCTTGTAAATCTATTCAAATTATTTGAATTATTACCACATTTTCTAAATTAATTAATCTGTATAAAGATATATGCGATTGTCTGTCCGTTCATACCATACATGTATATAAAGTGATTAATTTTGCTTTTAAATCCAATTCTTGTGCTAAATAATAATAATTTTGTCTTCAAATAGAAAATACATTGAATATTAAGATCTCATACACGAAGTCATAGGAATTAATCAAATTACATGTGGACATAATATGGTAATTTAGGTGCATTTAAATAGTACATTATGTGGCAATTAATCCTATCATTACTGACATGTCCTTCATTTGCTGTAAAAACGCATACAACAAATCAATTTTTAAGTGAATGTAATTTTTTTTGAACTAACTTTATATTGAATCCAATGTTTAATATAATTTACATATATTATTGAGAGAGGGGGTAATCCCCACATTAATTACCATTTTGGATTATTTAAATAATTAAATATAATTAGACCGCAAATAAATGCATAAATAGGGAGTACTTTGAAAATTAACATTTTTATAAATGTTTGATTAAATATAATAACATATTCTTAAGGTAGAGATTTTAATGTCATTTTCTCATCGATTAAATATCTTAACAAAAATTTAGCAAAAAATCATTTGATATTAAATTAGATATTGAAATAAAGATATCAAATGAGAAAATAAGCGATAGATTTCTCATATGATTTCCGATTAAATGAGAAAATATTTGTTATTTCAACAAAAATATACAGTTATCCAGAAGTAGTGAAGTATTTTTATAGTTTATCTCTAAATGTTCCTGTAGTCTATTAAATCATAGTGGATTTCTTGCTACCTAGTTTATTTTATACAAATCAATAGGAATTTAAAATAATTTAATTATTTAATTTAAATCAATATAATTACTGTATTTATTTTTGAATTTTAAACCTCAATATTACGTATATATTTAGACGATTAACATATAATTAAAAAATAAATTAGATTTAGTGTTTACGTAACTAAAATGCAATTAAAATATTATAATTTTATACATTTAATTGTTAAACAAATTAATTCCTAGGTTTGCGGCAAAATTGGTCTAAAATTATTATTTAATTAGACACTTGAAAGTAGATCAGGAGAATTGTTTTATGAAAGTAAACGATCGATAACATGGTCATTTTATATAAACGCTTGTATATAATTTTAAAGTAATAAATACATAATAATTGTGATTTATAATAAAAATGTTAATATATTTATTAATAAAATGTTTAAGTTATTTAAACTTGTTCCTTTTTAAAATGTTTTTAATTAATAAAATAATTATCTAAAACTCTACTAATTTAATAAATTAAAACTTATTTTGATGTTTAGTTATCAGCAAATAGTTTCAAACTATTCGCACATTTAAGCAATTTTTGCGAAACATAATTATGAGATAGAAATGAAGTTTGCGTTCAATGAATGGGTTTTGAAGCGCCGATTGCGGAGACGGTGCCGACCATTGAGTGCCAGAGATATCATTTAAGTTGCAATTGAAGGACACAATAAACTTATGGTATATTTATCTCAATATTATTTTTATGTGAATTCTTCTAATATTTTGTAATGCATTTAATTGTATCCGTCATTGAGTTTTGCGAATCCATTAGTGAATTACACAAATTGTTTGCAAAATAAAGTGTACATAAAAAGGACACACAATCGTAAAAATTGTATCACATTTTTTGGTATCAAATCTCTTTTAATGTGTGTTCAAATTCTGTCCGGATTTTGTCACTAAAAATAAGTTATTTTATCATTTCATTCATTCTCTGTCTCAGTATATGTAAGACCTGTAAATCCATTAGAAAATGTTTTCCTAACTCTGTTTTAGTGTATTTTTATCATATCTTAATTGACATAATATTAATAATGTTATAAATCTGTTTATTCACTCTTAAGGATATAATTATTTAAAATGAAGCCATAATTATCGCTAGTATTTGATTAAACACTTATAATATTACTCCTAAAACCGTATTTAATGCATAATTATGTTAAGTCTATATAAAGTATTTTAATTTCAGCGATTAATCTGCAAAATAATACTTAAAATGTAATTTTAGGCTAAAATGAAATTCCGATTTAATTCCTGGTTTTTGGGATAAATTAAATAATTGTCTTAAATTTTACTCCACACTAACATTAAGCTAATTATTTGTATTTTTGGACAAAGAATGTGTTTAAATCACATTTTCTTATCAGGAAATCCCTTACGAGAGAGAAATTTGTTTCGAAAATGTCATAAATTCTCTTAAAATATAATAAATAAATATTTTAAAAGGAATCTAAAATAATCGTAATATTTATGTGCAAAGAAATCACGTAAAATAAATACTCAATTTGTGTCCCAAACCCAGTGTTTTATATCTCCATTGAAAAACAGCAAATATTTATCTGATTTTTTCTTTATGTTCACTATATTTGATGGGATTTAATGGTTGGGACAAAACGCCCACACATTTAATGCCTTTTCGGACCCAAAAGTATTTTTTCATTACATTTATTGCCTCCACTTTTTAACCACAATTCAGTATGAATAATGTGGTTTATAGGATCGTTCTTTTTTTTAAATACGTTATATTATTTTAGGTTTTAAGTATTTTTGTTGTTTTTTGTGTTACAAAATTCACATTTCTCGCTATCAATGAATTATTTGACTAATTATTATTTACACATTAAATGTATTCATAATTAATTTGAATTTTTATGTGTTTTCATATTTTATAACACATTAAATTACCCTTAAAAAGTATATTAGTTAATAGTTATAGATATTAAAGTTTATAAATAAGTTGTGACGGAAGTCGGAGTCCGAGGAGTAATGGAGGACTCTTTAATGACCCGTCGGTCGGTATTTGGGATCAAAGTCTTAAAACGACAAGATCTACCGACGAATGTCGGAGTGCGTTGAGAGGTTGTGGCGAAGTGTGAACGAAGTCGGAGACTGGACTGTATGTACGAGTGGTTTGCCGACGAGGTAATACGAGGGGTAACGAGTGTATGAGTGGGCGACCCTCGGCTGAGTACTGGTAGACACGGAGTATAGATACGAGTGGCTTGACTTCGATCGGACGCGAAGTCGGAACGTTAAGTGAATGGGTGCACGAGTTTATAGGTATGTGTGGCCAAGACCTGCGAGCCGAGGCGAGGTCGGACTGAACGCCGTGTAGGCGAAGTCGGGCGAAGAGTGACGACAAGGAATGGATAAAGTGTGGCCCGACTCCGGGACGGAGTCGGGCAGAGTAACGGACAGCGATTTGTATTGTGAACTCTCGTTAGTTTATTGTTGTATTTTACAGGCTTTTAGTGTTAGATCGATATATATTTGTGTACAGTGTTTATGATATACGAAGTCGTTATATGTAATGTATAGGCTATGGACAGCGGAGTGTTTTATATGTGTATACAGCGTATGTTTTATATGAGGTAAATATGGATAAGACATGGAAGTAGTTATCGGTAATAGTGGTCATAATCGGGAAATTCATCGTTTGATTTATATACGGAAATAGTGGTTAAAACTGGTATAGGAGTGCATTGACAGCAGTGTTTGTTTTAAGGCTTAGGGCAGCGATAAGAGTGTTGAAGATTATAAATGGGGGCAAAGGTTTACATAGAAATTTGAATGTGAAATATGTTAAACAATGGTATATATAGAAAAGTGGTTGTCTTATAAATATTCCTCTGGATGTGCTGGAGATGAAGACGTTTTCCCTCAGACAATAAACCCAAAAAATTTTATGAATAAATAATTTAACTAAATTTTTAAATATTGCTATTGAAGGAGGCCATTTTACACTATTTTATTATCTCATGATAAAATTTAATAATATTAGATTTTATTATACAGTTTGAGAATGTTATAAAGAAATTTTTATTTTAACTATTATTATATAAAATTACTCAACAACCAAGTAGACTGTAGATGAATAGTTTTAACATCATTAATTATTACAACTAAAATATTTTTAATTTAAATGGATAATAAGATTACCCGATAATTACATTTGACAATAATATTAAATTTTAATATATAACATTTAAAGATTTTCAAGTATTTAAATTTTAATCAATTACATAGCACAAACTATGTGGACACTTCGCTTGCTGGACGGTCGGCGGATACCCATGATTGGTTTAGGCACACTCACCATCACAAACGAGACCGTTATCAAACAGGTGATCGATGATGGTCTAACGATAGGGTACCGGCACATCGACACCGCGTACTACTATATGAACGAGCGGTTTGTCGGCGAAAAATTACGGGAAATATTTTCCCGCCCCCGCGGGTCGGGACCGAGCGGGATTGGGCTCCAGAGGCGGGACATATGGGTCACTAGTAAGCTGTGGTGCACTTATCACAGTCGGGCAAAAGTGGCCGAGGGTCTAAAACTAGCCCTAAAAAAATTAAATATACAATACCTAGATATGTTTTTAATACACTTTCCGTTTGGGTTTGAATATGGCGGCGACGATATACCTTTCACCCCCGATGGGTTGACACGTGACTCAAACATATCAGTGGTTGAAACCTGGAAGGGTATGGAGGATGTTTACCGAGCGGGCCTGGTCAAATCGATTGGTGTATCAAATTTTAATGTGGATCAGCTGAATAGATTGATGCGCCAGTGTCAGATTAAGCCCGTGGTTAATCAGGTAAACAATTTAATTAAGCTTATTTTGTTATTTCATTTTATGCCTAAATTATTATTATTATCCCAATCATTCTTTCATAAACACAAATAGCTTAATTATAATTATTAACTGTGAAATTTTATATAATTTATAATCATACAATCTTATTTTAAAATTTTTATTATTTATAAGTAATTTATTTCAATCTAGCTCGAGATACATCCATATTTGAGCGAGGTGGAATTGGTACAATTTTGTCAACGTATGGGCATACGAGTGGAGGCCTATAGCCCTCTGGCCAAAGCAAACCAGACCCTATTAAATGAGCCCATATTGATAGAAATTGGCCAAAAATACAGCAAAACGCCTGCCCAAGTGATAATGCGCTGGCTCATTCAACGTAATATAGTAGTTATACCTG